CCCTACAGAACCTTGAAAATCGCCATCCCTACCGCAAACAAGACTTCACCTAAGAAATCGCGAGAACCAGATATCATGAAGGATAGCACATTCGAAGGATGGATGAAGTTCTTGCAATGACTACGACAAAAGTGTTGGTGATGTGCTGATAGCCTGTACACACATTATATCTGAGATGTACGTATAATATTTGCAATAAATCCAATAGAACTAGTCAGAGTAATTTACTTTCAATCAAAGAACATCGATGAAAATCGCAAAGATTTAGGAGTATCCCAAACTAGACAAGTCTGGTTTTCTTAAGCCACCAAAAGAACATGTTGATTTCTACTGACGCAAACGTCCCTGTCATTTGTTCCCTATACTTTCCGCACGAATCTTCCAAATCCCGAAGCAATTAGATGAAATGGTAGGTGAAAAAATCAAAAACACCACTAGATCTTTTCATCCACAGTGCATGCAACATCGTAGAAAAATCTTATAACAACAACAACAATTTATCATTATATAACATATTGAGGGGTTTTACATCGCTTCCTGTTGTGCTTTCAACTGCAGCAATAGGGCTTTCTTCTCTTCAATGCGTTCCTTTCTCTTTTCCAAAGTGATCTTCTTGGCTCCCCACCTAGAAAGTCATTTTCAGTCACGATAAAATGATTTGAAAAAGGTAAAAACATAACGGAATCCAAAAACAAAACAAAAAAGGAAGGGAAAAGACTACAATTACCTCTTCTTCTCTCCAGCTTTCTTGGAAGGCTGTGTTCGTCTATCGGGATTCTCACGAATGGCAGCATGACCGTTCTTGTACATCTGGATCAAGAAGTATAGATACATTCAGGTCATTCGAAAAGCACAGTTAGGAATCTGACCTCTTCCAGATTGTCGGCAGTGATGCCTTGGGCAATGAAGTGAGAGAACTGTCGCTTGTAAGCATCCTCATCTTCTTCCTTCAGTGAGCGCATGTATTCTGCAACGTGTTTGCCGAAGATGCGATCGCGGTGGGCTTCAGCATCGTACTTCTTAGACTCGGAATCGTAACCGAAGAATCGGTTCTCGCTAAAACATTATGAATTGAAAAAAAAAGGTGGCATCCCTACATTCAGCCTCAGTCATTTACTCGAATTCATCGCCTCGCGATTCTCCCAACAAGACAACTGTTAC